TGTGCTTAAGCGTATCCAGGCTTGGTGATCCTTATTACTTCATCGTCCATTTCCTTTATGGGCACTTCTTCTTCTAAGCAATCCACCTTGTTGACTTCTCGGCCAATACTTTGTTCGAACTCGAACACTGTCAATTTGTCTCCCAATGCTTTCAAGGCTGCTTCTTCTTTCGTCTTGTCTTTACATTCTGTATTGAAAGCCATTAATTTGACTTTGAAGGTCTGAACATCGGTCATTTGCCTTTGTTGTTTACAACTCATTTAAAACTCCTTGATTACTTTTTTGCCAATTACTGGCTCTTCCAGGGCCACTATGTTTGGTCTCATTTGACTGAACATTTCAGTGAGTGCATCTACTGAAAACGGCTCTTCGCTCTGTGCAACAATTTGAGTTTTTTCTCCATCTTGGACCACTCTGACAGGTCCGTAATTTCCTTCGTATATGAATCTTTCCACTGAGTTTGCTTCTGCGACAAAAGGTCTATGATCTGCCTGTACCACTTCTGCTTCACCCTTGTCATTCTAGAAAATCAGGTATTGATGGAGCGATGAAGGTATGTAGCAACTTTTGTGTATCCAATCCCCTCCTAATAACACATTGTAACTAGTAGGACCATCTATTACGAAGAAAACTGTGATCCTAGTAGTTGTCCCTACAGTTATGTCCAATGGCATAACCTCTTTAGCTGAAGTTGCTCCACCATTGAAATTTGTAAGGATGACTTCTGTTAGAATCACATCACTTTCTGTCTTCTGTCTTTGCAAATTTTCTCATCATCCTAGATGGAATGGTGTTTATAGTTGCTCCATTATCGATAAGTACTTTCGTCACAGGTATACCGTTAACTAAAGCCTTAACGTACAATGGTCTCAAGTGTTTAGTTAACTTCATGGCTGGTCTCTTAAAAATAACATTTTCGACAGCATCTATTTCCACTTCATGCTTGTTCTCTGTTGAATTATCCTTTTGTGATAAGTCAACGTGCAGTATGTCGCACTGAGCTTCCGCTTCCTGAATTTCCTTTTTATTATTTTCTAATACTTCTTCTTCGGTTACCCAACTTGTGGGAGGAGGCATTATTATTGGAGGTGATCCATACTTTTCAAAGCGAGGTACTCTCTTTTTCCTCTTGGGTGTCCCGTATAACACGTAATAATCGAAAGAACGCCCAGATGGTTCCCCCAACAAGTCCACTTCACGAACTCCCTCTCGATGTGGTTGCTTCAATAGAATATTGTGCGATACTCCTCTCTTTCTTCTTTCTGCTTCCAGATAAATTTTCTCTTCGATGTTCGTCATACCATCATCCTCTTCACCATTGTAGGCTCCTCTAGAAGTTTGGCTTTCTTCACATTCCAGCACACATGCTTCTTCCTCGTTATCCTCCCTCTCTTCTTCTTCTTTCTCTTTGTTCTTGAACTCATTTGTTAATAAATAGTTATTAGCCATGATAGGAGGTAATGTACTGAACTAAATAGTAAAGGGCTAATCTGGATCTTCTCCATCCCTTCTGTCTCGCTCAAACTTCGATCTTCCAGAAGAACTCTCTGACAATTCTTCCATCGATTCACCTGTACCAGTCTCCTCACTGTCTTCGAGAACATTTTGATTGGCCACCTCGAGTA